CTAAAAGAACTAACAGATCCGTCCTGGAGGAAGTGCAGCCAGAATGCTCCTTGGAAGTGAGAATGGCCAGACTTCATCTCACCTACTTTGGTCACGTTGTCAGAAGGGACCATTCCCTGGAGAAAGATGTCATGCTTGGTAAGGTGGAGGGTCCATGAAAGAGGGGAAGACTCTCAACGAGATGGATTGACATAGTGGTTGCAACTATGGGTTCAGGTATAGCAAGGATCATGGAGCTGGCGTGGGACTGAGCGGTGTTTTATTCTACTGTGCATAGGGTTGCTATGAGTCAGACACGACTCAACGCCACCTAACAACAACAACAACATTCATCACAGCACTATTCACAATAGCAAAGAGATGGAAACAATCTAAATTGTGTTGTGCTGATATTTATTTATTTATTTCTATTTGTTTGGATTCCCTCTAAAATAGGTATTAGTTATTTAGAGTCATTTGTTTTCACTGTGCAGGAAAATAAAACTACAATTTAAAATATAAATAAATAAATAAATAAAACCGGTTATACGTTTGCATAAAATTTGCATAAAAATGAAACAAGATCCATACCTCACACCATATACAAAAACTAACTCCAGATGGAGCAAGGACTTAAATGTGAAACCTGAAACTATAAAGTTCGTCAAGGAAAAAAATAGGGGCAAATTTAGGGACCCTAATTTATGGCATAAATAGACTATCAAGCATCTCCCAAAATGTACAAACTGCAGAAGATAAACTAGATCATTGAGATTTTCTAAAAGTTATATTTTTATGTGCTTCAAAAGACTTCTCCAAAAGAGGAAAAAGAGAACCTACAGATTGGGAAAAAATATTTGTCAATGACACATCTGACAAGGGACTTATCTCTAAAACTTGTTGAAAACTCCAACAACTCAACAACAAAAAGACAAACAATCCAATTAAAAATGGGCGGAAGACAAAAATAGACACTTCACCAAAGAAGATATTCAGGCAGCCAACAAACACATGAAGAAATGTTCATGACCATTATCCATTGTTGTTGTTGTTGTTGTTGTGATGTGCCATCGAGTCAGCCCTGACTCATAGCGACCCCTCCTTGGGTTTCCGAGGCAGTATCACTACGGAAGTAGGATTGCCCAACCTTCCTTCCGAGGAGTGGCTGGTGGGTTTGAACCACCAGCCTTCTGGTTAGCAGTCAAGCGCCTTAGCCACTATGCTACCAGAGCTCCCCATTAAGGAGATGCAAATCAAAAACAACAATGAAATACTATCTCATCCCAGCACTGATAACAAAGTTCAACAAGACAGAAAATAACAAATGCTGGCGAGGATGTGGAGAGATTGAAACTCTTAGACACTGCTGGTGGGACTATAAAATTATACAAACACCGTGAAAATCGGTATGGTGATTCCTTAAAGAGTTGGAATTAGAAGTACCATTTGATCCTGCAATCCCATTACTAGGTGCATATCCTAAAGAAGTGAGAGCCAGAAACATTGATCTATTGGTGGATGGATGGGTGGACAGGCTGAACAATTAGTTATGTCTGTGCAGGGGGGATTGTGCTCATGACCATGTATAAGGTTGGCAGCCAATAATTCTACTAGTGTATTTGTATATTCTGTAAGAATTTCCAGGTATTACAGTAGAGCTGACAAGGGACAAAATTGTGGAAACTTCTTGGCCACAGCCAATTACCTAGAGGGAGCGAGTAGTTGGACCTGTGGACCCAGGACCATGGCCACAGGGGACATCAAGCTCAATTGCCATAACATACTACACGATACATTGTTCCACATCCTACTTTGGTGAGTAGCGACTGGGATCTTAAAAGCTTGCAAGCAGCCATCTAGGTGCAATGATGGGTCTCTCCTCGTTCAGAACAAAGAAGAATGAAAAAAACCAAAGATGCATGGAAACAAATAGTCCAAGAGACTGGTACATGATGTGATCCTCAGCCTATATGACCATGAGACCAGAAAAACTAGATGGTGCCTGGCTCCCAGTGTCAACCACTCAGAGGGGAATGTATGTAGCAGATACCGGATAGAGTGGGAGAATAATGTGGAACAAAATTCAAAATCATTTAAAAAAAAAAAAAAAAGGATCAGGTTTACTGGTCTGCTAGAGCCTGGTGGAATGAACCACTGAGACTTTGGCCCCTAGCTGTCATTCAGGTCTGGAATTGAACCCACACTTGTGGCTTCCAGCCAAACAAAAGACAGGCAAATGAGCTGAACATATATATTAGGTAGATACACTCCCTGGAGAGATCAATCATGGGGGAACAGAAGGGCTGTGTATGCACAGGGAGACAGCTTGGGGGGCAGGAGTGCATGGGAGGGAAGGACATAGGGAAGAGGTGAGGAAGTGGGAAGAGAGCTGTTGCATTGTGGGAAATTGCAGTCAATATCATGAGACAAGTATATGTGAACTGCTGTATGGAAAATGAATTAGCTCTGTAAACTTTCACCCAAATCACAATTAAAAACAACAAAAAAAGTGAAAGCTATGACACGAGTAGATATGTTGTTGTTGTGTGCCATTAAGTCAGCCCCAACTCATAACGACCCCTCCTTGGGTTGCTGAGGCAGTATCACTACAGAAGTAGATTGCCTAACCTTCCTTCTGAGGAGTGGCTGTTGGTTTGAACTGCCAGCCTTCTGGTTAGAAGTCAAGTGCCTTAGGCACTATGCTACCAGAGCTCCTCAAGTAGATATAGACACACCCATGTTCATTGCAGCAATATTCACAATAGCAAAGAGATGGAAACAACCTAATTGTCCATCAACAGAAGAATGGATAACCAAACTATGGTACATACACACAGTGGAATACTATGCAACACTAAAGAATAATGCAGAATTTGCAAATCACCCATAACGTGGATGAACTTGCCGGGCATTATACCAAATGAAATGAGTCAATCACCAAAGGACAAATATTGTAACAGTCCACTATTGTAAAAAGTCAAGGAAAGGTTTATATATGAAAGGAAATTTCTTTGTGGTTACCAGGGATGGGAGTGGAGGGGAGGGAACACTGCTAGATGGGCAGAGACAAGTATTGATTCAGGTGAAGGGAAGGGCAATGTACCAAAAGTGAGTGATCAACACAGTGGCATTGAGAAAGAAGAAGATATGGAGAGATGCACAAGCAATACAAACAACAAAGATGAACCCTTTTGCATGCACAGTACTGTGTTGTCAATGATGGTAAGCATTGATCTATGGATCTGAACATGTATAGGGTTGGCAGATAAGGTTTCTACATGTGTATTTGTAAGTGCTGTAAGAATGTCTGGGTTATAGTAGAGCTGATAAGGGGCAAGATGTTGGTGGCTTCTTGGCTATAGTCAGCTACCCTGAGGGAGCAAGTAATTAGACCTGTGGGTCCACCATGGTCCCAGGGGACATCAAGTTCAATTGTCATAAGAGACTACACAAAAACTTCGTTCTACATCCTACTTTGGTGAGTAGTGACTGGGGTCTTAAAAGCTTGCTAGCAGCCATCTAGATGCAACAATGGTTCTCTCCTCTTCCAGAGCAAAGAAGAATGAAGAAAAACAAAGGCATAATTAAACAATTAGTCCAAGGGACTAGTAGACCATGCAATCTTCAGCTTATATGACCATGAGGCCAGAAGAACTAGATGGTGCCCGGCTACCACTGTCAACCACTCAGAAGGGGATCAGTGCAGGAGATCCTGGATAGAGTGGGAGAACAATATAGAACAAAACTCAAAATCATGAAAAAAAAGACCAGGTTTGCTGGTCTGATAAAGCCTGATGAGACCCTTGAGACTATGGCCCCCAGTTACCCTTCAGGTCTGGAACTGAACCCACTCCTCTGGCTTCCAGCCAAACAATAGGCAGACATATGATGTGAACATTTACGTCAGGTAGATACAGTCCTTGGAGCGGTCAACCATAGGAGAGCAGAAGGGCAGTGTTTGCACAGGGAGAAAGCTGGGGGGGGGGTTGGGAGTCCATGGGAGGGAAGGACAGAGGGAAGAGGTAACTATGGGGAGGAAGTGGGAAGAGAGCTGTTACGTTGTGGAGAATTGCAGTCAATATCATGAAACAAAATGTGTATGAACTGGTGTATGGAAAATGAATTTGCTCTGTAAACTTTCACCCAAATCACAATTTAAAGCATAATTTAAAAAGTTGGAAATAGAAATGCCATATGATTCAGCAATCCCACTACTAGGTATATATCCTAGAGAAATAAGAGCCTTGACACAAATTGTTATATGCATTCCCATGTTCATCACAGCACTATTCATATCAGCAAGAAGATGAAAACAACCTAAGTGCCCAATAAAAAAAAGAAGAATCCTTGATCCTGAGATAGTTCATGGAAGTGAGATTCTAATCCTGATTCTGGTATCCAATAGCTTCTGGGGTTGGAAAAGACCCAAAGGCATGATTCTGCCCTTCAGTGACCATCAGTGTTAATCAAGACACTTCTTCCTGCAGGACCCCTTCCCCTCGGCTCACCCCCTGATCCGGCGCCTCCAGAGCAATTCTAGCACCCAGAACCTTGGACCTCTCCCCACCCAGCCCCTTGCCCCAGAGATGCACATCATGGAAGCCCAGAGTGACCAGCTCCGGGGGTAAGAGCCACCAATGCTGAGCTAGTAAGGGCTTCCTTCTGCTGGGATATGAACCCAGGAGGCAAGATAGAGCAGGTGAAGGAGAGGGAGGGATGGAAATCAGGTCCTAACTGCCCCAGGAAGTCTCTAACTTTCCCTCTTCCCCACTGTTGGAGGCAGAAGCATCGAAAAGCTCAAATGCTTTAACCGTCTACTGTCAGCTGTGCTCCAGGGGTACAAGGGCCGGTGCGAGGGGCTCAGCATGCAGCTGGGCCAGCGGGAGGCTGAGGCCACAGCATTGCACTTGGCCTTGCAGTACAGGTCAGTGCATCCCACCACTAGTGGAACTGGCTGGGGAGGAGCTGGACTCTCAGGCAATGGCCCCATTCACAGAGGGAAACCAAGCCCTCACAGGAAAGCAGTTTCCTCCACCACAGGAATTAATTTAAGGCAGTCTTAGCCCAAGGGTGCTGAAGGAGTGTGAGTTCTCCCGGGGGTGGAGGCAGGAAGGAAAGCTAGAGTCCTAGGAGCAAACAGAGATGAACCCACACAGCAAGATGGGGGCAGGCTTCCTGGTGAAAAAGATCGGAGCTGAGGTGTTTTTATTTTATTGATTTATTTTTATTTTTATTGTGACTTGGGTGAAAGTTTACAGAGCAAATTCATTTTCCATACAGCAGTTCACATACACTTTGTCTCATGACATTGACTGCAATTTCCCACAATGCAACAGTTCTCCTCCCACTTCCTCCCCATAGTTACCCCTTCCCTGTGTCCTTCCCTCCATTCAGTCCTGCCCCCCAAGCTGTCTCCCTGTGCATACACAGCCTTTCTGTTCTCCCATAATTGATCTCTCCAAGGAGTGTATCTACCTAATGTAAATGTTCAGCTCATTTGCCTGTCTTTTGTTTGGCTGGAAACCACAGGAGTGGGTTCAATTCCATGGAGCTGAGGTTTTCAGAGATGAGTAAGAGTTTGCCCTCTGGGAGGACGTTAGGAGATCTGGTGTCCTGGAGCACTCAGGACCGATGTCCTGCAGTGAGCACTGTGAGGAGGCATATGGGGCCCTGCTTGCTCTGAGGAAGGCCGACTCGGGAACAGGGGAAGGAGCCTTGGTGGGTGATCTTCAGGCTGCTGAGAAGGAAGCATGGAGGCTGCTGGCCCAAGAAGAGGCTGCCATAGATGGAGGAGCACCACAAGGTGCCCAGCCAAGGTACCTCTGGGGACCCTGGAAACTGGGCTGACTAGTGAGTGAGGCCCTGAGTGGGAGATGGGTTTTCCAAGATGGCCCTGTGTTGGGGTTTGGCATGACTGTATCCAGTGAGGACAGGAGTTAGCCTGTTGCTACTCAACAAGGCTGGCATGGTGGTTAATTGGATTGGCATAGGACCCACCATGGCTGGCATAAAGGTGGATGATGGTACTTAACAAGGTTGACCTGATAATGCTCATTGAGTTAGGCATGATGCTGCCAAAAAAGGTTAGCATGCTGGGTGATGGTGCTCATTGATGTAAAAAAGCATCAGAACCTGTCTAACTTCAGGGGGAACAATGCACATCAAGGTCAGCATCAGCCCAAGGCTAATTCCTATGAGGCAGAGGTCAAACATACCTCCACCCTTTTATTATTTCTGATGATAGCTATCCCTCCCACAGCACACTTCCCCCCACCACAGCACTCTTTACTTCTTTTCTGGGTTCAATAATCTGCTGCAATGACCACACAGTGCATACTTACAGTTAGCGTTTTAAGGAAGTAACAAGATACAACTTAGAATCAGGAAGCATGCAGGCAAAATCTCCCTTCTTCAGTTCTGGATGGGTCTCTCAGGCCCTCTAGGCCACGCAGGCTTCCTCTCATCCCCCTGCAAACAGGCTCCTCTTGGCCCTGTTTTCTGTCACCATGACTCTGCCAAAGGGCCCCTTCTGGGTCTATCACCATCTACTCTGCTGCAGGGCCCCTAATGAGCCTTTCACCATCGGCTCTGCCAGTGGGACTCTGCTGGGCCTCTCGCTATTTCACTGTCTTTAGTGTTACAGCCCTTGACTTACGTTACAGCTCTTTTTGGCAGTTCCTTACTTCCTTTCTTTCTCTTCCTGCCTCTCTCTTCTTTCTGCTTCTCTTTCTATTTCTTTTTGAAAAACCTCTGTAGGATTGGCTGCTTCTTTACACAAAGTCTTCATCGATTTCAAGGCATGGCCCTCCCACCAGGGCCACAAACTGACCAATCCCCTTTTAATAGGCCACAAGCACTTTATTTGCATAGTAGTCTACAGATAATTCATGTGCATAATATATTGACTAGGGAGCTCTGGTGGCATAGTGCCTAAGGCACTTGACACTTGACTGCTAACCAGAAGGTTGGCCATTCAAACCCACCTGTCACTCCTGGGAAGGAAGATTGGGTAATCTACTTCCATAGTGATACTGCCTCGGCAACCCAAGGAGGGGTCTTTACCAGTCAGTGGGTTTGGTTAGTTTAATTTATTGACTAATTCATGCAAGATAAATACCTATCATAGGGCAGGCTGCAGCCAAGGACTAGATAAAAAGTATCAAACCAAATTGTTTACAACTTGCCCAGGAATGTCAATTTGCTTGGATAAAAATAACAAAGCCTTTGGAGAAGAAAACTTGGGCCAAGGTAACTCCTTAGGACTTAGGGGAAAAGTCTCTCAAGTTGTTTTTCCGAAGACCCTAACCAACAGGCCATGTAAAAGAATTCATTTCATAACAATTGGATTGGTATGATGGTGTCCCCATGATGGCATGAGTGATAGTGGCCATTAGGTAGTCATGATGATGATCATCATGTTGTTTTGATCAATGATAGTGCCCACTGGTTTGGCATGATGGTGTTCACCGTTTTGCCTTGATTGATGATAGTGCCCATTGGGTTGGTATGATGATGTCTACTATGTTGGCTTGATAAGTGATGGTGCCTGTTGGGTAGTCATGATGCTTTGATGGATAATTGCACCTGTCTTAATTATCTAATGCTGCTCTAACAGAAATACCACATGGGTGCTTTAACAAATGGAAGTTTATTTTCTCACACTTCAGGAGGCTAGAAGTCTGAATTCAGAGCACTTGCTCTAGGGAAGTCTTTCTTTCTCTGTTGGCTCTGGACAAAAGTCCTTGTCTGTTTTAGCTTTTGCCTCTGCAATCTTCACGTGGCTTGGCATCTCTGTTCTCCACTCTCTGCTTGCTAGCTTGCATTTAATCTCTTTTATATCTCAAAAGAGAGTGACTCAAGATACAAGTTACACTAATCCTGCCTCATTAACATAACAAAGACAAAACCAAAGAAACAAACCAAAGGGGCTTGGTCAGTTCGTGGCCCTGGTGGGAGGACCATGCCTTGAAATCGATGAAGATTTTGTGTCAATAAGCAGCCAACCCTACAGAGGTTTTTCAAAAAGAAATAGGAAGAGAAGCAGAAAGAAGATCGAAGCAGGAAGAGAAAGAAAGCAGATAAGGAACTGCCAAAAAGAGCTGTAACATAAGTCAAGGGTTGTAACACTAAAGACAGTGAAATAGTGAGAGGCCCAGCAGAGTCCCACTGGTAGATTCTGATTCATAGCAACCCTACAGGACACAGTAGAACTGCCCCATAGCATTTCCAAGGCTGTAAATCTTTACTGAAGCAGACGGCTACATCTTTCTCCTAAAGAGCAGCTGATGGGTTTGAACTGCTGATCTTTTGGATGGCAGTCAAGTGCTTTAACCACTGTGCCAACATGGCTCCTTTAATAAAGACATTCTCCAATGGGATTATAATCACAGGCATAGAGGTTAGGATTTACAAAACCTATTTTGGGGGAATACCATTCAATCCATAAGAATATCTATCCACTGTGTTACTGTGATGGTCCACTATGTTGTCTTGATCAATGATGGTGCCTATTGGTTTGGCATGATGGTGTGCACTATATCATCTTGATGAATTATAGTGCTTATTGGAGTTTACATTATGATAACCACCATGTTGGTATAAGAAGGTCCACCACAGATGGCCTAGGAACCATTGTGGTTGGTAAGATGGAGGATGATGGTGCTCCCAGGGCTGGTATGAGGTTAGTACAATCACGCCCACCAGTGTTGACACACACCCCTCTTCTGTTTCCCACAGCCCTGAGGGCAGTAGTGTGGACAGGCCCACACTACAGGAAGTGGCTACTCAGCTCCAAGGCTACATCCAGCGTCTCCAGGAGCACCGTGCTCTGGTGAAGATTCCTCCAGAGCCTGGTCCCACCCTGGCACCCATGCCCAATGTGCCCCAGGCAGAAGCCATGCTGCAGGCCATGCTAGAGACCGAGCCTGGCCCAGCTCTGCCCCGGCTGGAGAAGATGCAGATCCAGCAGGACCTAGTGGCCACACGGGTATTCACGGGCTGTGGTTACTCTACCAATCATTCCTGCCAAGACAAAGGTTTTTGCTAAGGCAGTGAGAGGCATGACTAGATAGAGAAACCAAGGAGCATGAGGGGGTTCTTTGGGCTGGGAACAGGCGTCCTGGAGGAAGGAGAATTAGAGCTGGGATTTTGAGGGGTGAATAGGAGTTTGTCCTCTGTGTTTCAGTTTCTCACTAGATTCCTAACCTGGCTTTCAAAAATGTTCTGTAGGGGACAAGGGAAGCTTTTGTTTGCAGGGCATTGAGTTTATGTTAATGGTGGTAGAATATTTTGGAAAAATATAGCAATAATTGTGGCGCAACATGAAACAATAACATGAATGTCCCTGAGTTGTAAATATAGAAGTTGTTATGTTGGTGAATGTCTTGGTATGGATGTTTTCACCACAATAAAAGTTAAAAAAAAAGAAGAAGCCCTTCCTATGGGAAAAACTTGAGGAAAGAGAACATACCCCAGGGTTTGTAGGCTTGCAGGAAATACTCTAGGTTCTGGAGTTGAAGAAACTCAGATGCTTCCACTGAGCTAGTACTTGACCCTGTCTAAGATATTTGCCTTCTCTGAATTGCCACTCTATAGCCATCCCCCAAACCAAAGCCACTGCTGTGGAGTTGATTCAGATTTCATAGAGAGCCTATAAGAGTGAGTGGAACTGTCCCATAGGGTTTCTTGGGCTAAAAACTGTATATGGAAACAAATGGCCAGATGTTTCTCCCACGGAGCTGCAGAGTGAGTTTGAACCGCTGACCTTTCAGTTAGCAGCTGAATGCTTAACCATTGTGCCATCATACTCTTTTATGGAGGATGGTATTTCTCACCTCCTAAGATCATGGTGAGGGTCAGAGTTCTTGCCTGGCCAGCCCACAGTATGTGCTTCCTAACCTGGCACAAACTGTTTCCCTAATGGTTGACCCTGTTGTCATTAGTGACTATCGATTCAGCACCTGATTCACGTCAACCCTGTGCACAGCAAGATTGGGCTATTGTGATCCATAGTGCTTTCACTGACCGATCTTTGCAAATCAATCACCAGGCTTTTCTCCCTAGTCTGTCTGAAACCTGTTTAGCATCACAGCAACATGCAAGCCTCCACTGGCAGACAGGTGGTGGCTGCATATAAACTGCATGGGCCGGGAATCAAACCCAGTTCTTCTGCACAGAAGCCAAGAGTTCTAACACTGAACCACCACTTCTCTCTGTGGTTGGTCCTCAAGGTACAAACTCTCTGCCCTCTCATTGACCCCTCAGGAGACCCTGGCAAACCTGACCTTACGGCTGCAGCTAGCACGGAGGGAGAAGCGGAGCCTGGAGCTGCGGGAGGCTGCCCTTCGAGCCCTGGGCCCTGCCCACCTGCTCCTGCTGGAGCAGCTGCGGTGGGAGCGGGCCCAGCTCCAGGCTAGCGGTGAGGGCAGCAGTGGTGGAGACAGCAGTGGAGGCGGGAGCAGCGGGGATGAGACGGAACGGCCCCAGGTGAGTGGCCCATCTGGACCTGGGAGGGATAGCAATACACTACTGGCTGTGTGGCCCCGGAGAATCATGGGCCCTCTGAGCTTTGGTTTCCACCATTTCTGCACAGAGAGACACATGTAATAGTTAAGCTGAGTGTTAATGTTCACACATATACTTGGGGATTTTGTTCATTGAAGGTATTGAGCCCAATAAGCTCCAAGGGGTTTAGCATCTTCTCCTCAAACCTGTTTCTACCCCTTTATCCCACCCCCAGGTCTGTCCACGCTCCCCATCTCCACCCCTGCTGCCCCAGCTTGTGTTTCATCTCCTCCTAAATCTTAGCTCCAATCTCTTCCCTGAGGCCTCCCCTTTTTCCCCTTCCTGTCTGATTTTATCTGAGTTCTGCTTAAAAGCCTTCCATGGTTTTCTGGAACCTTCAGAGTTTAGGCTCCTTAATGTGGTTCTTTGAGTATCTCTCCTTTGCACACACCAGGTCCCAGCCTGGAACACTATTCCCTCTTTGTCTAATTTAGTCCTTGACCTCCAGCAGGTCTCAACTCAGGTATCACTTCCTCAAGGAAGCCCTCCGGGATTGCCTTCAGATGAAGTCCCCCATTTCTTATTTCCCTCGTCAGAAGATAATTTTACCTTTATTGGGGGCTCTCTGAGAGCAGAGCTGTGGCCCCCACCATCTGGGTGTTTTAGATGTCCCCCTTGGGCTTAGCACACATCTTGGTCAGCATCATTTCCCTCTGTTCTGCTCACTGTAGGGCCCTCCTGCTGTCCCCGGTGGCACGGATGGAGGCCAGGTGGGCAGAGTACGGGACCCAGAGGAGCTATCCCAGGAGCTGGAGTTGTCACTAACCCGGTGTGTGCCTGGGTTCTGGGCTGGGAAATGAGTGGGGTCAGGGAGAGCAGGATGCACACCTGTGTAGAGGTGTGTTCATCTGGAAACACTATGGGCAAATGGGTGGGAGGAGGGGAGGAAGAGCAATTGGCCATGGCTGTGACCCCTCTCTCCCACCCTGCACTAGGACCCTGGACCTACAGGGGCAGCTGCGGAGCCTTTGGGAAGAGCTGGAACAGGTGGCTCATAAGGCTCGAACCAGACGCGCTCAGAGTGCCAAGCTGAACAGCGACTTATGCAAAGCTCACAGGTGGTCCCCTGCCCTGGGTCCCCCTGCCTGGTTGCTTTAGCCGTGTATCCCCGCCTCTCTTTGGCCCTCAGGTTCCTCCCTGTGAGGTGGTAGTGCATTCGATCCATTGCACACCTCCGTTGATGGCCAGTGGGACCCCAGGAGCACCCAGTCTCAGGGAGCAGCCCCTCTTGGGGATGGGAATGGAGTTGTTTCTTGGCTCATTCCTCACACCCTCCAGTGCCCTGGTCTTGGCCTTCCGAGGAGCGCACAGGAAGCAGGAGGAGCAGCAGCACAAACTGGAGCAGCAGGTGGCACTGACGGAGGCCCGACAGGCAGAGGAGCTGGCCGTGCTGGAAGCCACCGTGAGGGCTTTAGTGAAGCATCGGCCACCCTGCCCACCACCCCGGCCAGGGGAGACCCTTCTGTAGTCCCACAACAGGTCTTGTCAGGACATGCCCCAGAGTGATGACCGGCAATATCATAAACTCCCTGGAGCGCCTTTATATGACTTGGCGTGTTGAGGCATGTTTGGTGTACGGTGGCCTAGTATGGGATGACAGGGCTCTTGAGAAAGACGTAATGTCTTAGAGGTCTCTGGGTGGTACAAACAGTTTGCATTCCACTACTAACTGAGAGGCTGATGGTTCAAACTCACCCAGTGGTGCTGAAGAAGAAAGGCCTGGTGATCTACTTCTGAAAAGATTAAAACCAAAAAAATCAAACCCATTGCCACTGAGTCAATGCTGTCTCATAGCAACCTGATCGAACAGAGCAGAACCGCCCTATAGGGTTTCCAAGGCTGTAAATCTTTATGGAAGCAGACTGCCGCCTATTTCTCCCAAAGAGTGGCTGGTGAGTTCTAACAGCTGACTTGGTTAGCAGTGAAGCACTTAACCACTGTGCCACCAGGTCTAAAGATTATAGCCATGAAAATCCTATGAAACAGTTCTACTCTGTAACACATGGGAGTACCATTATCTTGAATTGACTAGACAGCAATGGTGTTTTTTTTTTTTTTTAATGTCTTAGGGTCTGGCCTAGCGCCATGTGGATTATAAACCTGGGATGTCATTGAGGTTGGGCAGGGTGACATGGTCTCCAGGGAACAAAGGCAAAGCTCTCCCACTTGAGCTGGGGGCCGGGGGCACAAATGAGGAAACTGAGGCCCAGCTAGATTCCCAAGTTAAGTAGCCAAAGCTAAAATTCCAGCCCCTATCTGGAAGGGGTCTGTAGTGAGCAAGTGAGCAGGAACGGGTGGGTACACCTTCTCTGCCTACCCTTTCCCAAGGAGACACTGGGGTTGATCTGGAAGATGCTCACAAAGAAGAGGCCCATAGCACAGAAGCAAGCTGAGGAGCTGAGGCTGGAACAGCTCAGGGTGTGCAAAGAGCATTGGCTAGAAGAGCACTTGCTGCCAGGGTGGCGGCGGGGGACGGGGAACTGGGGAGGGTTTTGGAATTTGGCGTCAACGAACGAATTTGCAGCTAAGGGAGAGGGCTTCTGGGTGAAGTGGGGACTTGGGGGTTTTGGACTATAGACAGGTAAGTTCAGAGCACACATGCTCCAATGAGGCGAATCTGCCACTTCTAGAGCTGGGAGTGCCGGCCAGCTTCTTCCCAAGGCTGATGGGAGCTATGGGAGGTGTTTGTGCCAGGTTAAATGGTCTGCACTCAATCACTCACTTAAAAATTGACTGTTCGAACCTACCCAGTGGTGACATGAAAGAAAGGCCTGGCAATCCGCTTCAGTAAAGATTACATCCAAATCAACCCTATGGAGCAGTTCTACTCTCACACATGTGGGGTCACTATAAGTCAGAAACAACTCCAAGACAATGAATTTGGCTTTTAATAGCAGGCAGCTTATTAGCATACATTTGCATAGGCAGATCCTAGGCCTTCCAGAATGAGGTAGCTGGGCTTGGAAAGCTGCGGTGGGCTTCCACCCAACCTGGTGGGGTTAGTGGCCAGCTGTCCTCTCCTGGGGGGTTGCTGAAACCCAAGACAGGGATTAGAAAGCGTTTTGTGTCCAGCCTCGGGGAGGAGGGGTCTGGGTTGCACCTGTGCAGGTGTGTGTGGGGTGCTGTCTCTTTCAAGAGGTGGGCTGCAAGCCTGGGGTTAGTGCCAGTCAGCAGCCAAGCCTGCACCCAAACCCTGTCCACCTGATGAGAGGAAACAGCCACTCTTAATGTCTGGGGCTGGTGACCTTCGGACCGCCCCCCCCCAATGTCTCTGGATCCAGCTGACTCTGAAGAAAGGAGGGAAAACTGAGGCAGGCAAAGCAACAAGTCAGAGGGAGAGGCAGAAGAGCCAAGCTTGCTCCCTTCCTCAAGAGTCTAAGAGTGACCTTGTCCCCCAAGTTGCCCGTCAGGGGAAGGGTAGTCAAGGTCATCTGTAGGTTTTGCACTTGGGGACACACCTGGCATTGCAATTAGGGAGTGGGGCCCAGTTCCCAGGCTGCCTGAGCAAATGGGCTGGCTGTTCCCACACGCAGCCCCTTGGCAGATGGGCCTAGGACTCTTTGTCCCAGGTTTGCAGCCTCTGCAAGGTCAAATGTCACCTCGGGGCAGCGGGCAGGGGTCACAGGGGCGGGGCAGGCCTCCACCCACCACCCCCAAGTGGGCCCCAGGGGGCGAAGGGGGGTCTACTGGGAGAGGGGCAGGGTAGCTACAAGGGGCTGAAACAACTGGAAGCTCTGGGGTTCATCCTCCAACCCTGCCTGGCCCTCCCTTCTGAGTCCCCATTCCCACTCTCTCAGGCTAGTCCCCCTATTCCCTGCTTCTTCCTGCCCAAACCTCTGATCCCAGGCCCTGAGCCTTCTCACCCTGGTAAGTGTCTCTTTCCCATCAGTTCTCTAAGACCCCCACTGTGTCCCTGAGCAATGATTCTGGCAGGTCCAGGTAACTTACCTAGGATCCCTGGCTTCTCCCAAAACAGCCAGTCAGCCTTTACTCATTCCCAGGCAGCCTATGCCTGGGAATCCATGCCCTTCTCCCCTAGCAGGGGTTACATCAGGCTGTGGGTCAAAACCCCACCTGTCAGACCTGTGGGAAGTCCTAGCTAATGTCTAACCCAAGTCCTTCCTGCTTTTTGTGCTTGCTAAGGCTTCCCCAGATGTTCCTGGGTGGCTCAAATGGTTTAAGAATTCGACTGCTAACCCAAAGGCTGGAGGTTCAAACCCACCCTGAGATGCCTCCAATGAAAGGCTTGATCTGCTTCAGAAAGTTCACAGCCTTGAAAACCCTCTTTAGCACGGTTCTACTTGCTGCAACTCAATGGCAAACATGGCAACTGGTTTCTGCTTTAAGGCTTCCCCCACTAGGAACCCAGCCAGGCCCTCTCTGGGTGGCTAAGAGGCTCAGTGCTGGGTGGGCTGGCTCTCTCTGAACCTCAGTTTTCCCCAAAGTGTTGCAAGATCTCTAAGCACCTTTGCCCAGGGAGGGCACCTCCTTAGGTCTCATCTGGGGTGGGGGAGGTCTTTTCCCAAGTCCCACTCCTGAGAGCGGAGGCATAGGAGCAGCAGGGAAAGCAGGGCAGCAGTAGAAGCCCAGCCCAAGTGCCCGGGCATCAGACTGGGCTCAGGGCACGGTGGGAGATAAGGCCAGGCTATGGACCTGTGGGGTTGCCAAGGGGAAAGGTCACCGTGGGAAGGGCTCCAATAGCCAGTTAAACGTTAACAGGTCCAGCGGAAGATAATGCTCGCCTTCTACCGCCCAGGGCTATCCAGCCCAACCTCCTCTCAAACCAACGGTGCCCAATAAGTGCTGGGTCTGGAGAGGGCTCCGGGCTGGAAGAGACATCTGCAGTTCAGCCGGCAGCCCAATCCTTTCAGTAAAGCACAGAAAGAAAAGGAAATTAAAGGGGAAAAGGGGAAAAGGGGAGGGCCCCCCCCCCCCGGAAGGGTCGGTGGGTGGGCCATACCTAGTCGAGCCCCTAGGCCCTCCAGGCGGGTGGACGCCCTGCCCCTGGCTTGGGGCCCCCTCTGACCTAGCTCCCCCAGCCTTGCGCAAAGCATAACCTCCCTTCCCTTTGGAGATTTCAACTAACCAGTAAATAAATGGGTAGGGTCGGGGGCCAGCCACGGCGACTTTCTGGAAGCGGCAGCAAGCACACTCAGTCCTCATGCAACTATGCAAAGAAATGCCCCAGGGTGTGCGTGTGTGTGTGTGTGTGTATGTGTGTGACTGTGTGTGTGTGTTTATGTTTCTATAGACGGATCTTTAGCGCAGGGGCTTGGCCCCCTGCTCCTGGGCAACCAGCCCCCCATTACTGCTCTGCCAGGAAGCCAGAGGGGGGATTACGAGGGGACCCTCGAGAGCGGCCAGCGGTGGAGGCGAGAACCAAGAAAGACATCTAGGAGAAGCGGCGGAGGGCAGAGGG